CACCAGCATGTGCATGTTGTCAGAAGAGACAAAATCACTGTGCTTCATTTTGTTTTCCCTTTTATTCTTTGACAAATCATTGGTCCCATAGACACTAGCGTAATGTATTTACTTTTTCTGCAGCTCAAGAGGGCTGTAGAAGCATTTATCTTAGCTGGTTTAAGCAAAAACGTGGAGTCTAAGGTTGGGTGATGACGTTAGCCATTGAGAATATTCTCAGTTTCTCCCTACCCTCTCAGCTGATGCATTTAGAATTTTTCTATATTTATTTACGTAAATGCTATATAGAAGTATTTTTAAATGTGTGAAATAAAATATACCTTAAGTTACTGTTATCTTAGAATGAGTGTCAGATTAAACATTTTAAGTGGCCAGTTGTGGTATTTGGAACAACATAAAAATAAGGAAGCAAAGTAGAAAAAAAACTAGAGGCAGATTTTGATTGTGATTATGATCATAATTCATATTATAACTGACAGGCTGGTTTATTTAATCCATTTCTGTTTAGCTGTAAGTATAGATTATGACACAGTTCTATGTTTTAGTGGTCATTTTCATAAGGAAAATGTGTTATAGCCACAAAAACAGTTATGATTAGCAGCTTTTTTTTTTTTTTAAAGGTTGTCGTGGGGAAGTAAGCAATTTGGAAGAAACCAGTTCAACTTTGGTGAGCTTGCTTCTCAGTTTGGTTACTGAATCTCAGTGACTTAAAGCAAGTATTTTAATTGTTCTAAGTGTCTGCACTTGCCCAAGAGATACGATGATGTTTTCTGCAGGGTCCTCAACTGCTGCCTTTGGTCAGGTTTCCCAGCACATGTTCAAGGAAAGGACTGGGTCAAATCTGTGGCTAATTCCACCAACACAGAGTTTTCTTTTGGTTTTTTTGTTTGTTTGTTTTTGGGGAGGAGAGGGAGCCCTAATCATCTGAATAATTGCACTTCTAATCGCCGCTTCCCTTTCAGGAAGTACAGTATTTCCTTTGTTCAACCATCTCTTACTGAAAGAAAGCTAATAGAGACACATGTTTCCTTTCCATTGAATTTTGGCTTATTTCAATCAGTCCTCTTGTTTCCATTAATTTCTGTTCTTATCTGAAGGGATGTAACATGTTTTTGGAATATAATGTACTTGCTAAAAACATATTAACTGTGAATAATGGGAGGACTACAAACATTAAGAAAATATATATTTGGTTATCTTTAATATCACATAGTTTGCTAGACTCTCATATGAAAAAACTGTCCTTAAGTGCCATACCTTGTATTCTACAACCTAATAGTCTGTTTATATCAAAGTAACAAACCATTCTGAGCCACAGGCCAACAAGGTGTTACCTGCCCTCCTAGGTGGTCTGGGAAGATTGCTACATGAATCATCTATCTCCTGATGCATACCAGGAGCAAATATTGCAAGAATGACAGAAGAAAATTGTTATTTACCTGTTTCCTTAGACTGCTTAAACAAGGGAAGTCAGGGCCACATGGAGTTCACATTTAATTGTAATACT